CAACTATCTATTATCTTTTTTTTTAATTCTAAAATAAATTAAAAAATTTATATAAAAAACTCCTCATAGGTGCGGAAGTGTGTGCGAGGTTATATATTTGAGAATTTTACTATAATAAGAGAAATGATAGAATAATACGGATGTACGTAATAATATTCTCTAATTTTCTTTTTAAAAACAGGGAAGAGGGTTTTATTTTTCTGGTATGATCTCCATTTTCAATGCCACTTGTTAGACAAAATATGAGTACTCCACCTTTTTTTTTTTAATGAATAAAAGTTAACTTGAAAACTCATATATCAGTTATCTGATCTTTGATTTATCCATCCTATGAAATCTATAGAAACATTTTTTTTCTCTTTTTTGTTTTGTTTTAGACTATGACTTATATTATTATAATATATATAAATACAATGATGTTTAAAAGATTTACGCAAAATGAGTATATTATATCTAATAATTTGAACTTTTCCACTTGACTATAGGCCCATTTAATGTGCAACCTAACAATTTGGTTTATATACAAATCCTAAAATGTTTAGATGAGTGTAGTGTTTGGTTTCAACGTTCTAATTTGTTCTAGACGATGACAAATTAACAATTGTTATCTGTTTGTTTCCGCACGGCACACCATCTCTCTTCTCCTGTTTTTATATAAATTCGGCAATGCTTGTTCTTTATGGAACAACATGAAGCCAAAGACACACCCCTACAAGAACAAAGCATCTTCTTAGAGAGAGAGAGATGGAGGGAAGAGAGAGCAGTTGCCATCCTTTGTTGAGAGGAGGAAGGAGGGAAAGCAAATTCAGCCATGGTTTCTCTCCAGCTCAAATCCAATCACTGGCTGCCATCTGTGAAGCTCTGGTACCTCCTTTGTCACTGGAAGACACCATAAACAACAACAATAACAACAAGGAGGAAAGCCCAGATGACCAAGCCCTTCATTCCATCTACAGAGCTTCTGGGTCTCAGCCTCCTATACCAGATGAGGTGAATTTCATGTTGGTTTCTATTGAAGTTTATAGGAAAGCTCTTCTGTTCTGTTTAAAAAAAAAAAAAAAAAAAAAAAATTAATTAATTTTAAATTTTTTTAGTACAGCTATAGTCTAAACTACAGGAGCGTATAAGAAACCCTTAAGATGTCACAATGGTTCGAACTTGAGAGTTTGCAAGTCAATGCCCTTTATTTTTTTAGTTTATGAAATATTCAACTTGTTCTGTTTCTCTTTTGGATCAATTTGGTAAACAAACAGGTAGCAGAATTGATGGTGAAGAGGGCTCTACCAGAAGTTTTGGAGGGAATGAAGCTATTTCTGAAGATGCTGTCATTCAGATTAGGAACATTATTACTATGTAGGCATCGTTGCCTTAGTTGGAAATGGCCATTCATCCACAGCTTCTCTGAAATGTCTTTGGAGAAAAGAGAGGAAGTCCTCAAGAAATGGTCAAGGGAAAAGCTTGTACTCACACTCAGATTGATGTTCTTGGTGGTCAAAATCTTCTGCTTCTACACCTTCTTCTCCTGGGTAATCTTGCATCTGATTTTAACCCCCTCTCCCCACAATGAGTCATACTTCACTATCCCCGTTTCATTATCACGCTCTCTCTGTCTCTATGCTCGGGACAATGAAATGGACAATGAAACGGGAATAGAGAAGTTAGTTTTTTTCCTCCACTATTACATAATGCAAGTCTTGTCAGACTTGTCAGCTGGCCTTTTTCCTTTCTTTTTATAATTTATGTTATCTGTTCCTTTCTTCACTCATGGCTCATTGCTTTGATAATGGTAAGGCAAAGCAAAAGGACAAATATTCTTTAACTCCTACTGACCTCCGTGACACTTTCCAAGTAAAAGAAGAAGAAAAAACTCTTTAAACTAGAAAGAAAAATTAAAGAGATAGATTAGTGCTGTATTTAATAATTTATGACAAGAGGGTCTGAGAATTTCGGTCAGTTTAAAAATAAATAAATAAAACTCAAAGTGCGGATTTTACTATATATTTGTTTGTTTCTCTTGTGACAAAAATGTGTGACGGTTTGTAGTGATCAGGAGACCGTCTATAATATCTTGTAGCATTCATCTGCAACGTCTATGATGTCTTCAATAATATCTCATTCTGCATCTAAACTGTTTATAATTGCTCAAAACATGATTTGACAAAGGCTATATGTAAAATTGCTGGAAAATGTGGATCTAAATAACAAAATCCTACAAGAAATGTCTGATAGAAAGATATATAGCAGAATACATACGTGTTCATCTTTTCAATTATAGGAATTGAAGTTTAATATCACTTTGTCTGGTTGGTTTCAGCTTGATGAAAATTCAAGAAACCCAGCATGGAAAGCAGTTGGATACGATTTGAACACCAATAAAAAGTTGATAAAAACTCCAAAGGAGAGACCTCTTGAACAGGGAATCATAGAAACCATGAATGAGAGTGATTCTACACTTGTTCAATCTCTCACTAAGAGAGGCCTTCGGGTCTCGGATGATACGACTCACAACCTCCACAAGATCCAATGTGATGTTGTCATTGTTGGCTCTGGTTGTGGTGGAGGAGTTGCAGCTGCAGTTCTTGCAGAGTCGGGCCAAAAAGTGATCGTTGTCGAGAAAGGGAACTATTTTCTGCCTAAAGATTACTCTTCTCTAGAAGGCCCCTCAATGAATGAACTATATGAATCAGGTGGAATTATGTCATCAGTTGATGGGATGATAATGATATTAGCTGGCTCAACAGTTGGAGGAGGTTCTGCTATAAACTGGTCTGCATCGATCAGAACACCAGATACGGTTCTGCATGAGTGGTCTGTGGATCATAAGGTTCGACTTTATGCAAGCTCTGATTACAAATCTGCCATGGATGTTGTGTGTAAGAGGATTAGAGTCACGGATAGTTGTACTGAAGAAAACTTTCAGAATCAGATTCTGCGAAAAGGGTGCGACACTCTTGGTCTGAAAGTTGATTTGGTTCCTAGGAATTCCCCGGGAGATCATTACTGTGGTTCTTGCAACTATGGCTGTCCAACAGGAGAAAAGCAAGGGACTGATTCTACTTGGCTAGTTGATGCTGTGAAATGTGGTGCAGTGATTTTGACTGGATGCAAAGCTGAGAAGTTCATATTGGAGAATGACAGTCAAGGAGGAGGTACAAGAAAAAGATGCCTTGGTGTGGAAGCAACATCTTTGGGCAAGAATATCAAAAAGAAGCTGCAAATTGAGGCCAAGGTGACAATTTCAGCATGTGGATCTCTCTTGACACCTCCTCTGATGATCTCCAGTGGACTCAAGAACCCAAATATCGGCACGAACCTCCACCTTCACCCTGTTCTGTTGTCCTGGGGATACTTTCCTGAACACGAATCAGAATTTAGAGGCAGAACTTATGAGGGAGGGATCATCACTTCACTCCATAAGGTGGTTTCCGATACCACAAACGTCCGGGCAATCATAGAAACTCCTGCACTAGGGCCTGCCTCATTTGCTTCACTGTCTCCATGGATTTCAAGGCTTGACATGAAGGACAGGATGGAGAAGTATGCAAGAACAGCTCACCTGTTTGCATTGGTCAGAGATAAGGGTTCAGGGGTGGTGAAGAGAGAGGGTAGGATCCACTACACACTAGACCAGTTGGATAAAGAGAATCTTCAAGTTGGGCTTAGGCAGGCTTTGAGAATCTTGATTGCTGCAGGAGCTGTTGAAGTGGGAACATATAGAAATGATGGGCAGAGAATAAAATGCAAGGGGACAAAGCATGAGGATTTGGAAGAGTTTTTGGACACTGTGGTTGCACCTGCAGGGCCAAGCTCAAGGGAAGAGCTTTGGACCATATACTCTTCTGCACATCAGATGGGAAGTTGCAGAATGAGTGCAAGTGAGGAGGAAGGAGGAGTTGATGAGAATGGTGAGAGCTGGGAGGCAAAAGGGTTGTTTGTTTGTGATGGGAGTTTGCTTCCAACTGCAATTGGTGTAAATCCCATGATTACCATCCAATCCACGGCTTATTGCATTTCCAAGAAGATTGCAGAGTCCTTGGAAAAAGAAAAATACATTTATCCTAATAATATTAGCTATTAGCCTATCTTGTTCTTCTGCAGCTCATAAGCTCTGAAAAATCATCTCAACACATTGGTATTGTAACTCAGAAATTTTAAAATTGCAACATGAACCCAATTTCCTCGTATAGCATATAATAATATAGGATGTTCAGCACTCTTTTTATGCTTTATAAAAGCTTTCCTAGTTTTCCTGTCTATGTTAGTCTTGTTATTATGGATGTTCAGTACATGGAGCCGAGAGAGGGGACATACATTTATGCCATCCTTCGGATCTGCCGTCCCCCAACCTCAACAATATTAACCCTGTCAACAACACTACATGTGAATTTTATGTTGTTTCTGTTTCTTGCTTTCTTTTATGTCAACAACATTCCATGTGAGTCTAAATTGGACAAACTGATGCTGATTGTGAGTTTAGCTTATATATATATAGCTCTTTTTCGGAGAGGGTCAACTTAGAGAAAATGAGTTTGTCTTCAACAGTGGAGAAGGTGAGGACCTTCGACAAGGGACTAGCATGCCGAAGACAAAGTGGGAGAAGCAATCGTTAAGCTTCGGACACCGGTGTGGTGCCGGCCGAAGACTCTCCAATGCTTAAGTAAGCTAAGAGTAGTAACTTTGGCAGAGTAACAGTAAAAGTAAGAAAGTAGTTACCCTTTTTACTAGGGTATTGTTCCCTATTTATAGGGAAGTGAAAGTAAGAGGTTTGTGTAGAATTTTGATGTAGGACTTTGTGCAAGTCACTGTGGTGGTAACATGTGTCCTGGAGATTAGGTTCGGCAGTTTGAGAGCTTCGGCAGTCGGGGCTTCGGCAGGTGTCTGGCACCTTGGAAGAGTGTCTTCCTTCGGCGGGGAAGACGTGGCTGCTTTGGTGCTAGTTGTTTTAAGGCTGGATATGCTCGGTTGATTATGGTGTAAACAAAATATACTTAAAATCAAACATGAAATTCTTGGCGACCATAGTTGCGATGGTTTTAGGTATTGCTCTTTCCTTCAACATTGTGGGAAACATGAGCTGCAATGCTGCTGGACAGTATGACTACTTTCAGTTTGTTCAGGAGTCTCCTTTTGCATTTTGCAAAGATAGTAATGGAAATGGATGCAACATCCTACCTCTGCCACGAATATTTACCATTCATGGCTTGTGGCCAAGCAACTTCACAAATCGTCATAAACCTTGCGTTGGTAGACAATTTAGTAGAGATGTGGTATATCTCTATCATACATACATACACATATTGAGAATAATGCATGTAGCTTATGTTATGTTTCTCGTGTTTTGTTTAGTTTACATGAAGCTGTAAGGCCCTGTTTGGTTCATGGGAAAAGAGACTTAGGGATGGGAGATCAATTGCTTTCCCATGTTTGATAAGTCCAGGTATGAGAAATATGGTTACCCGATACATGGGAAAATATGGGGGAAAGTGAAGCCCTCCTCCCAACTTGGGTTTTGTTTTCTTTTCTCATGGGAAAGTTTGGGAAATGAGTCAATATTAAATACACATTTTTCTGACAATTTTGTCCCTATTAACAATTTAGGATTACAATATATCATTAAATGCATTTTTTTATTTGATTTTATATGAGTATAATTGGAAAATTATACAAACTTTGTTTTCCATTCCTATTCAAAACAAACATGGGAAATGAAATAAAGTAATATCTCCTGGTTACTTTCTCGGCATTATCAAACGTGGGAAATGAATATTTCATTTCTCATCATGGGAAGTGATTTCCCCTCAAATCCGTTCCGTGAATCAAACGAGGCCTAAGTATGTGTTCCACGTTACCCAATTCCGTGAACTTCATCCATAAAATCCTTGTATGTTGACATGGTGCCTAGATGGCCATACCCAATTAGAGTTGCCCACAACTTTGTCATTAAACTCATTGGTTCCATTTCTACAAAGAGATAGAGGTTGCATGACCGAATTCAAATCGACCAACATACACTATCAATATACCATGAGAATTCGAACATGATACCGCTAATTAGCAAATCTATTGAATTCAGACATATTGGAGTTATTCCAACCCCGTCTCAAAAAATGTATTCTTGTAACTAATACGGCACCCAAAACCATTGTGGCTAGATGGCACGTGATTCATAGGTTGTCTCCAAATCCTTCCCATCAAATACAAACATCACTTATCATACTCAAAATATTCTTTAATCTTGAGGATGACAAGCAGAGTATGGTACTAGGAGCACATGGGTTGATATGGCGGAAACAATGAAACAAGAGCTACCCACGGAAATTTCAAATCAAGTATCAAGGGTGGTTAAGAATGCTTCGTCCTCAAGCCTTAATAATGCTCCGTCCTTCGGGTGAGGCCCATTGTTCTATGAGCTACCATAGCGACTCACATACCACTTGGCATGTTATTTTTCTAATGTACCTAATCCATCAATTTTTCATGTATTTTAGCTCTTTAGTTTTAGTGCTGACAAGATTCTTAGTTACACTTGTCCAAAAAAAATTACATAAATAAAGATTCTTAGTTGCACATGTTTATACATAATTATATTATGTGGTGGGCAGAAGGCACAGTGTCCAAGATTCTGGGCTCTCTGAACGCATGAACTGAACTGGTACGAATTTTAAAGGGTACTTATTTATTTATCCAATTGCTGAATGCCACTTCAGCAAATGGGGGTTTTGGCTTTACCCTTCGTTTTCTGTAAATTCACAAAAAACAAAAAGTTAAAAGTAGAGTTGGGTACTTTTTTTATTACAGAGAGGAGTTTTAGTTTACACGAACCGGGTGGAAATTTGGCAAAAATATATTCATAAAAAAGTACGTAGAGGAGTTTTAGTTTTTTGGTTTTTTTTTGGCATGCATGCACGAAATGATATTTAATTTTTCTTTGCCATTGTTAGATGAATGAAGCCTCCAATGATGAATTGCGAGCTGAGCTGGAGTTGTCATGGCGAAGCTTCATCGGTGGGCGGTCAAATATGGACTTCTGGGAATATGAATACAACACACACGGCAAGTGCTCCGACCACAAGTTTTCACAGACGCAATACTTTGTGGAAGCAATTGATCCAGGCAAGTCATATCGTTTTACTGACCTTGAACAAGCCATCCGATAATTTATAGGCGGGAGAAGACCTCTTCTCCTTTGCAAGCAATCTAAGGGGAAGAAGAAGATAAAACAATATTTGCTGGAAGTCGTAATTTGCTTTGATGACAGAGCAATTAATCCAGTGAATTGTCCCAAGAGGATGTCAAAAGAATGTCTTCCACAATCACCTGTATGGTATATGCTATAGCCTATAGGTAGAAGGGTGAATTAAGCTATATTGATATAAATCTAATAAGGATGGAATATATAATCTATGTACGTAGCTATGTGACGCAATGAACTAATCATGATCATGATCGTAATGCTTAATTTGCAGTCTGTGTTATATATAATCTATGTTTTGATTTCTTAATGCACATCCCTATATAGTTTTGCAACAGGCATAGTCATCATGTTTGTCTGGAAATGGAAAATCTTATATGAGTTGCATGCATATGTCAATCAACTACAAGTTTAATTATCTCTCTTTTGATCATCAACTAGAATGTACATACGTACAGTGAGAAAAAGATGAGAATTTTCTTTCTTAAAAAATCAGTGCTTTTTATTAGTTGTTTGAAATTAGAAGCTTGGATCATAATGTTGTATCAAACTCGTGTACATGACACACTAAGAAATTCTATATTGCCAGATTTTCTCATCTCTCAAGTTTGATGCCTCCCAAGACCTATCGAAACTATACTATTCACATAAACAATTGGCGAATCCATATTCGACATACAAATTTGTATAGTAGGAAGAGACATTCGGTTTTCGGTGCGGAGGTTATAGCAGATTGTGCATCCATCTTCGTCAACCACAAGAAGCTCATCGCTTTTCCAGAGTGCCAATACATATCCGCCGCCCTCCCTGAGGTCCATTATGGGGATTGATGTGAGCTCAAAACCTGCGTGTTTTGTCCAAACACAAGCACCAAAATCATTATCCAACAGCCACATTCCGAAGTATGGACTAACATCACAACTGTTATGCCAAACACAAAGAGCAATGGAAGATTCATTCCACACTGTAAGCAGCATGAAAAGCCCTAAAAAAGTTCTTTCATGGTCTAGCAGCTCATCTGGTAACGTTACCTCATCAAACACCTCATCGCTCATGTCAAACGAAACCATCACTTGCCTAATCATTTCTTCATATCGAAGTTCCTCCTCATCCACGAATTCCTTTTGTTGCTCAGATCCCAACCAATAACACATCCCCTTCAAGTGTATCTGGAAAATTTCTGGCCAAAGGAAAGTAGTTTCTGTTTCCAAAGAGCAAGTCTTGATCTCTCTCCAAGAAGAAGATTCTTCACTACTTCCCAGCGTGTACACTTGTACTCTCAGAGGATAAATAACCACAGAATATAATGTATGAGCATGCCTTTGCGAACCATAAAATATAATGCTAACAACTTTATAAGCTTTAGATATAGGATCATAGCCAAATCCCATGGCCCATTCGAGCCGATTATTTAATGGTAGATACGGGGCACGCTGCTGATCTAGGGACTCCCAATCCGTAAAGTATTTCTCTGAGGGAAGAAGCTTGAATTCCTGAATTGCCGGATTCCACACAAACACCTTACTATAATTATCTACGTGTACACAAATGATTCCATGACAATGGCCTACAATTCTAAGTTCTTCACCACCACTCATTACACTCATAGAAACTGGAACATTGATGTCCTCCACCCTAGACAATAGAAACCTATGCGCACCACCATCTGCATCCTCGCAAAAAGTAAGCACTGAGAACACTGATTCGGTCTCGCTAGCATTCAAGTCCTTATTAGGGAGTAATCGCTTCAAAAAGATTGATCGATTGTTGTGCAAGCAATTGGAGAGTTGATTGTCTACGAACCTGGGATTGTTGATCAACGCATACCACCATTTGGCCGCGCACTTGAATCGCATAAGGGATTTTGGAGGTAGACTTGATAGAATTTTTACCAATAAATCTTCCCCAATTTTGCAACTGTGTGCCATTATTTCAGTATATATATATGTCTCAACCCTTCCCGTCTTCTACCTCTTCTTCTTTTGCACACACAAACCGGAAATAACAAAACAACACCCAGGTTAAACATAAGGAAAAATTATCATATCTGTATTATATATAAATCAAAGAGTAAAAACAACGTAAGACTTTCTAAAGTGTAATCCACAGAGAAAGTTCGATTAACATCGTGTTCAGAATAACAAATATTAAAAGGGATTAAAGTATACCAAACCATATTAAACAATACAGAGAAAAATAGGTATATATAGTTACCTTATAATGAGTGGGAAGAAGAACATAGCAAATATACAATGGAAAGAAGCAAATTTAAGGTTTGATCATGGGATGAGAGAGAGAGAGAAATACAGCAGTGATTCCGGATCTGTTCTCTCCAAAATTGGTGTTCCCCTATGTCTCTGCTTGACATATGTCCCTCAACCTACCGCTGGAATTTGTTATTCAAAAAAGAAATTACAGACAAAATTAAACATTAAAAACAAAAAAAAAAAAACTAGGGAAAAGGAACATAGCAAATATACGATGGGAAGAAGCAAAATTAAGGCCTGATCAAAGGATGAGAGAGAGAGAGAGAGAGAGATGCAATACTAAGTCTGTATATGTTGTTCTCAAATTGAACTAACAATTTAAGGGACCGTTTGATAACAATTTCAATATTAGTTTTTATATTTTTTTTGTGTTGGAATCTATAGAGAAAAAAAAGGGAGAATGGACGTGAGAAGAAGAGTGGAGATGGGATTGAGAGAGAAGATTAGATGATTTTTTTTTTTTTTACTTTTGTTACTCCTCCCTCTCATCATCTTCCTCAATGTCATCCTCACTTCCATTCTCACTCTCTTTTTCGTCTATACTCTAGCACAAAAAGTGAAAACTAAATACTAAAATTGAAATAGTTATCAAACGGGCCCTAATTTATTAGTCCTTTTTCTAGAATTTAATGTATTAATCTATGTGTGATATCAATTGATATATCACTGATATAATTAAAAACCTTGAAGTTTTCCTACATTTCCATTGCTATAGCCTATTGTTGTTCTGGTTGTTCAGAAAGTGGAGCCATAAAAAGCCTTAAAAAAATAGATTATGAGGTAATATCATCTACAACATTATTTTTGTACGATTGTATCACAGTTCAATGGTGCCATATATTTTATGGCGTGTCTATGTTTTTTGTTTATTTTATATTCAGTTGATATTAGGAGAGGTGACTCGAATCTAGGACATCAAATGCAAGAGTAAATACACTTGAACTACAATACTAGCCCGTTATGGGCATAGACATTTTTTAAGCTTGATATATTTTTTGTGTGTGGATAAATACCATTAGGTGTTCCCACACCCGAATGGTGAGATTAATCTCTGATCGTGTTTTGACTTGTCTATGGCCACAAAATACTTCTAACAAGCTTCAAACCCTTGTCATTGAGGTACCAAATAGCTCGCCAACTAAAAATGAAAATTTGTCAATCGCACAACCCCTCGTGGTTTTTAAGCTTGAAATTTTACCAACAAGTAAATGGGACATTGGGATCAAACCGAGAACCGGTTCATTCATAGTAACAGGTTTTGAAAGTCTGAAAGAAAAGAAAAAGGAACCGGAGATCTATGACGCGGCGCCGATCTATTGGCTCACATAAAATAAGAAAAGAAAAACAAAATGAAATCCATAAAATGCCTAAAACGGGTCAAAAGAATATTAAAAAAGAAAATGCACTAGGGATCCTTTCGCATTCTCAGACCCAATCGCCTCTGCGTCCGGCAAACGCAGTCTCTCTCTCTCTCTCTCTCTCTCTCTCGCTGTGTGCGTCTCTCTCTCTAGTTGCTTTAGGGTTTGAGAGCTTCATACAATGGTGAGAGGATTACTGAAGCAGCTTACCTCTCGTTCTCTCTCTATCGCCGGAAAATGGCAGCGGCAACAGCTCCGTCGCCTCAACATCCACGAATATCAGGTCTCTCTCTCTGCATATTTCGCTCACACTTACAATCAAATTCAAACTTTCATACGTAGCTGATCTGTTTCTCTTTTAATTCTCCAGAAACTCTGGAAAGTAAAGAACACAATTTTTCGTTTTATGATTTGTTTATATGTTTCATAGTTATTTTGTTGTCTTTGATTAATTTAATACATTTGTTTAAAGTTAATAGTAGTGATCAGTGAAAATTTTCATCCCTAAAAAATTGTCTTCCTGTGCAACAAAAAAAAACTTCAAAATTTTGAAATATACATGTATAGAATATAATGTGTATGTATATGTGCCAAATGTCTGTTTTTTTCATTTATGAGAATGGTGTACATCTTCGAGTCACATTACATCATTCTAGTTGTTGGTTATACTTCTGTGCGAGAGTGAGAATGTGGTTTGAAATTTGAGGATGAATGCCTTTCACTTTGGCTGAAACCAGGGGGCTGATTTGATGAGCAAATATGGGGTTAATGTTCCGAAAGGTGCTGCCGTCGCTTCCGTTGATGAAGTCAAAAGGGCAATTCAGGATGTATTCCCCAAGGAAAGTGAGGTAATTATTGGAAATCATGGTCTTTTCATATTCAGGTTTATTTTGACAAGAAGACAAGCACTATTCTATGTTGCTGATCAAACTGAGAAAAAAGAAATATTCATAGCAATATTCGTTTTCTTTTCCAAGACAAAACTTTATGTCTGATTTAAGGATAATTTATCTTCATATTTCAATGGCTGAAAAAGTAAAAGTTGGAATACTGTTGTTATATCTTTTTTTTTTAAGCAAACTAGCTTAGTGTTTGAAAGGGGGCAATGCTAACTTGGATTTTGGTGCAGTTGGTAGTTAAAAGCCAAGTTTTGGCTGGTGGAAGAGGCTTGGGAACCTTTAAAAATGGTCTTAAGGGTGGTGTTCACATTGTCCCGGCTGACCAAGTTGAAGATATCGCTGGTACTAAAAACCATCTTTATTATATGAGAATGTTTCCCTGGCGTTTTTGTTTGCTTAAAGTTATCTCTGGGCATACCAACATTGTCTCTCATAGAAATAACTCTAGCGCACCCAAGCTTGATATGTTAGATTACAATGCCTCTAGCAATGCATGCATGTTAGTTTACAATAGTATGTTGTGATAGTCTTTTGTACATTTATTGTTCTGTATGATTCTGGAAGTTGCTGCTTTCTAAGATGTGATGCTGCTTTGTCCTTTTGGTGCTCTTCTTTGTTTCAATTTTGTACTTCTCTTGCAGGCAAGATGCTTGGTCAGAT